TCAACATATGATCCCAAAATTCAAAATCGCAAGGGGTGTCCCCTAGGTTTTTCTATCAACTTGTGATCCCAAAATTCAGAATCGCAAGGGGTGTCCTCCTAAGTTTTTCATCAACATATGATCCCAAAATTCAAAATCGCAAGGGGTGTCTCCCTAAGTTTTTCATCAACATATGATCCCAAAATTCAAAATCGCAAGGGGTGTCCCCCTAAGTCTTTTATTATGAAAATGTGACACCAAAATTCAAAATTGGTTTTTTTACACATATGATCCCAGATTTCAAAACCGCAAGGGTTGCTCCCCGTTGGGGGGGGGGGGCAGCAGGGCGATTTGATGTGGGGGGTGAGGCAGGTGGAGGGGGGGGGGTCAGAGAGGGTGGAGGCGTGGAGGGGAGCGCGGCAAACAGGGGGGGGGGGCGTGCGGAGCGGCGGAAGGCGCCCCAAACCCCCAATAGCCACCCTCGACCCCACCCCCCCTTCCCTTCTCTCTTTAATCCCATCGATTTGAATTATTTAAATAATTGAAATAATTGAAATAATTAAAATAATTGAAATACATGAAATACTTGCAAATCCTCGGGTTCGGTGGACCGGAGCCACCGAACCCAGGGATTTGAATTATTTAAATAATTGAAATAATTCAGATGGGGCGGATTTCAAAAAACAGAATTATTTCAATTCACAAGGTGGCCTTGTGAATTGAAATAATTTTGTTGTTTGAAATCCTGGGGTTCGGTGGGCTGAACCCACCGAACCCCGGGATTTGAATTATTTAAATAATCGAAATAATTGAAATAATTGAAATAATTCAAATGGGGCGGATTTCAAAAAAACAAAATTATTTCAATTCACAAGGTGGCCTTGTGAATTGAAATAACTGAAAAAATGTAAATCGGCCGGATTTGAATCATTTCAATTATTTAAAGTATTTCAATGATTTAAATAATTCAAATCGGTGGGACTCGTGGTCCAGCCACGCAACCCACCGATTTCAATTCACAGATTTGTTTTTGAATTCACAAAGTGGCTTTGTGAATTGAAATAATTTTGTTTTTGAAATCCTGGGGCTCGGTGGGCCGAACCCACCGAACCCCGGGATTTGAATTATTTAAATAATCGAAATAATTGAAATAATTGAAATAATTCAAATGGGGCGGATTTCAAAAAGCAAAATTATTTCAATTCACAAGGTGGCCTTGTGAATTGAAATAATTGAAATATTCTAAATCGGCCGGATTTGAATTATTTCAATTATTTAAATATTTCATATCGGTGGGACTCGTGGCTCGGATAAAAAATCCGATTTCAATTAACAAATTTGTTTTTGAATTCACAAGTGGCCTTGTGAATTGAAAAAAGAAATCTGTGAATTGAAATCGGCCCTGCGGCTTTAAAGTATTTCAATTATTTCAATTATTTCATTTATTTTCAGTCATATAGAAAAGAAGAGTGCGTCAAATAGACCCTAAAGGCGCCTCTCTCATATATATATATATATGTACATATGTACATATAACTGTATATGTGTATATGTACATATGGCAAAAAGTATATGTATATGTGTATGTATATGTATATGTATACCTGTATGTATGTAATGTATTGTAATGTAATTCAATGTAATGTAATGTAATGTAATGTAATGTAATGTAATGTAATGTAATGTAATGTAATGTAATGTACGGTAATGTATTGCAATGTATTATGATGCAACGTAATGTAATGTAATGTAGTGCAATGTAATGTAATGTAATGTAATGTAATGTAATGTAATGTAATGTAATGTAATGTAATGTAATTATGTAATGTAATGTAATGCAATGTAATGTAATGTAATGTAATGTAATGTAATGTAATGTAATGTAATGTAATGTAGTGCAATGTAGTGCAATGTAATGCAATGTAATGTAATGTAATGTAATGTAATGTAATGTAATGTAATGTCATGTCATGTCATGTNNATGTAGTGCAATGTAATGCAATGTAATGTAATGTAATGTAATGTAATGTAATGTAATGTAATGTCATGTCATGTCATGTCATGTCATGTCATGTCATGTCATGTCATGTCATGTCATGTAATGTAATGTAATGTAATGTAATGTAATGTAATGTAATGTAATGTAATGTAATGTAATCCCTCCAGCAGCCGAGGCAGCATGCGCCCTGCTTGTTGCAGCCCATCCGAGAACACTTGGCGGCGGCCAAGGCTGCCAAGCCAACAACCTCATTGTTGTAAGGTAATGGTTTTAGTTAGTAGATATGGAAGGCCACTGTAGAGTGTGAAAGAGGAGTGGAGAAATTTCGAGAACAAGCCATCTGCAGGCTTCAGCGGAGACCTTCCAGCGTTGTCTGGGCCAGTGCGCCTCTCACGAGGATGCTGCCAGGGACGTGGCCTTTGCCAAGCTTGTGGCGGCAACTGCCGATGACCTGGAGAGGATCCTTCAGGGTTGGGCAGGATCTGTCGAGAACAGGAATTGCGATGTTGAAGCTGGGGGTATCAACTGACGCCCTTTGGTGCTTGGAGCCACGGCAGCGTAGGGCGGAGACATCGAGAGACGCAGTGTCAGAGAAGGCAGTCTCTCTCTCTCTCTCTGAGTCTCTCTCGGCAGGCTTTGCCATGCCCCACGGTCACTTCCAGCATCAGGCTCCACAGCTCCTTGCGCAAGTTGTAGAGCAGTCTGTGCAGGCATGACGCATGCAGCATCGCACAAGGTTGCTGTTGCACTTGCCGCCTGCATCCACGCAGCTGGTCTCCTTGCAGGAAGTGCTCAGACGGAATACAGTCGCTTGCTGTCTGTGCACCAGCTGGACTCGAGCAGCATTGAAGGCTCGGCTAGATGTTTTGCTAGTGAGAAGCACCTGCAGAAATCTGCCCTCAGCTGCTGATGTGAATTTGGATGTTCCTGACACCAAGCTGGCCCGGCAGATGGGCATGCCTTTGCACAGATTGCCCGGAACGAGCACTGCATACCACAGGCCGGGTCCTTCGTTATTTCGTGGTTATGTAGCTGTGCAACGGATCTTGTCCCCCAAAGAAACAGGGAAGACTGCAGCGACCGCGAAAGGATTCACCACTGATTCACCATAAGGGCTCACTTATCAGTCTCGCGGCATGCCCGAAGCATGCGCACATGCCCCGCAATTGACTTCTGCCGGTACGAGGCGAAAATACAATAAGGGACAGTTGTGGCATTGAGTCATGCAGAGACCCGTAGATGCCGCTAGCTCGTCGTATTTCTCAAACGCAGACTTCCTGTCAGTGACGGCCATCTCCGCGTTAACACGGGATCCTGATTGATTGTTTGGAGCATAGGCGTAGACCACCAAGACAGAGAACTGCGCTGAAGCTCTTCTTCCGGGTTTGCCTTCCGGGCCATGCTCAAAGTGAACCTCCACCCTTGATTGCAAAGGGACCCTCCACCATGAGGAAACAATACATCTCCACACCCATCGAACTGCAAAGCGGACTGATGCATGCCATTTCCAACTCATGTTGAGCACACGTCATGCTTGTTCTTCTGCAAACAGGCGCGCACGGTTCGTTTGGCCAAGGACTTCTGCTGCCTGCGGCTTGTGGTGCTTGTTGGTTGCCGCAGTGCACTTAGGTCCCCAGTACCCAAGCTTAAAACTTTTCGGGTTCTTCTTACTTAGTAGTAGTAGTAGTAGT